ACATTTTATACCACCAAAAAGTTACTATATTAGTCTACACTGCTACTACATCTGCATGTTATACCACCAAAACGTCCCAAACCATGGAGCCGCAAATCTCTCCACCGGTAATCGCCGGCTCACTCACGTTCAAGGTGCATCGAAGGCAACCGGAGTTAGTTTCTCCGGCAAAGCCAACACCAAGAGAGCTCAAACTCCTCTCCGACATCGACGACCAAGGAGGACTAAGATTCCATATTCCCACAATCTTTTTCTACAGACACAATCCTAGTGCTTACTCCGATCCGGTCGTAGTGATTCGAAGAGCCCTCGCAGACACGCTGGTCTACTACTACCCTTTCGCGGGTCGGCTCCGAGAAGGACCGAACCGGAAACTAGCCGTGGACTATACCGGCGAAGGTGTTTTGTTCATAGAGGCAGATGCTGACGTGGCGCTTCTTGAGTTTGAAGAGAAGGATGCACTGCGGCCTCCATTTCCTTGCTTTGAGGAGCTTCTGTATGATGTGGAAGGTTCCTGTGAGATGCTCAACGCTCCTTTGTTTCGCATTCAGGTTAGTTCACATAATATCCATTTGGAACTATATAGTTTATTCTAACAAATACGAAAATAGATGTAGAACAAGATGGGATATCTTAATTATCCATCTAAATATTAAAATTTAGAACTTATTCAAATCAGTTCACTAAAAATTACTCCAATTACATGGACCTCTTGTCCCAAAATTCTATGTTTCATTGTGCCCCTAGTTCAATCCCTTTGGGAGAAGGGATATTCTCAAAGAGACTAAAGACTAATTCCGAACCCACAAAGATTAGGGTTTCGACCCGAACTTTGAGGTTATAAAAAAAAAGTTTAGAAACCAAAATTTTTAAAATCCGACATGTTTTTCGGATTATCGACTTATATTTTATTTCTCAACTATTAAATTTATTTTATTTCCTTGATGAGGTATCCTTTTTTTCCTTTGCTTTTTCTTTGCAATAGTGGATACAAATGAATAGCCAATCACTAATTCATGAATAATAAAAACCAAACAATAGTCAATCTAACTGTTAATACACTTAGTTATGCATTCCTTTACAAATTAATATTAGGCCGATCGACTATCGTTAACGTTGAGCTTTGTCATGTTCAACTATCAAACGAAATCAATATCTTGAAAATAGCCATTAAGATTAAGTTTTTTTGGAAAATTATACGTTATTTAAGATAAAAAAATATAATACTAATTAGATTTTGACCAATTTGACTAACTCTTGTTTAAAGAAACGAAAAAAGAAGTCATGATAAATTTATTAGTTACAATTTTTCTCTAAATTTTTTTTTTTCCATGAGTCCTTTTCGAGAGACTCAATTTTCTTAGGGCTTTTTTGGTGAATAACC